TAATGTTCTATGGTTATGTGAGATGTTATTCTGTTAGGAGAAGCTGGGGAAAGGAAACACAGGAACTCACTTTTGTAATTTCTTGTGAGTCTAAAATTATTTTAAAGTAAAAAGTATTTTTTTAAAGATTTATTTATTTATACAAGAACCTGGGTACAGGCCAGATGCACGGGAGGCAGAGAGGATTCACCAGAGACAGAGCGGGGAACAGAACAGGCAGACTGAAGAAATACATTGCTGAGGGAAGCAGCAGGTGAGACAGGAGAGGTCTGCCGTGCCATGTGGGACCCTTGCCTCCTGGCCAGGATCGAACCTGCACTGCAGAGGCTGCGGACAGTTTCACAGTGTGGGGCTCAACCACCTGCGCCACCAGGGAGGCCCTAAAGTAAAAAGTTTTTAAAGTACTGCTTTATACTTAAGTGTACTGATTAAAAAATTACTTTTCATGTTTCTTAGAGGCAGATATGAAACTTTAGTTCTTTATAGTTCTTGAGGACTCAGTGCTATTTACTTTTATTTAGTTATTTAATAACATTATTTAAGCTGATATAACAGTAGGAGTATTACAATATCTTAGTAAAGAGAATAGGCTTTGGAGTTGGATCTGGTTCAAATCTTGGCTTTATTGTTTTTTAGCTGTGTGATTTTAGGGAAGTTACTTCATCTCTCTGAGCCTTAGTTTGCTCATCATGAATGAGTGATGATATAACTAACACTGAGCGTTGTAATATGTGATGAATTATTATTTGCACTTTATATAATTTAACTTATTTAATCCTTACAACAAACTTCACATCTTTAGATGAGGAAGCTTCCGCACAGGGAGTTTTAGTTACTTAAACAGTCATGCAACTAGGAGTTGTTGGAGTCCAGGCTAAAAGCGAGGCAGCCTGGATTCTGTTTAGATATACAGAACTGGCTGGTTGCAGACCACCCGTCACACCAAGTACAACTAAAAAGCAGAGTAAAACATATTTTAATAAGTTGTTGGAAGACATTAAAGACTTGCCACGGTAGCTAGGACCTCAGAGACCACCATCCAAGCTGAGGGGAACCTAGAGAAGTGAATCTCATGTACAGTACACAAGGGTGGGGCAGGAGTAAATGGTGCTAGTGATCTGTGGTTCTTTCATTGGGTGGTATATAAAATACTGATTTAATTCCTACCTTGTACACTGTAATTTCTTGTTTTTTTCACTTTTTATTTATTTTTAAAATTTTTTTGCATTATTCATTTTTAAACAATATTTGCTTCCCCCCACCCCCTCAGGTGTAGTCCCCATAGAGTTTCCTTCACCAGTGCACCCGAGCACCCTCACCTCAGTCCCCTGTGCTCCTCCCACCCTCCTCCTCCCCTGCAGTATGTCTCTGATTCATAATTGTCTGTTTTTGCTTTGTTGTGTTTTGTACTGTTATTATTTTTTTACACTGATGTCTTATTTGGTTCCCCTATATTCCCGCTATAAGTGAAACCATGCGATATTTTTCTTTTTCCTTCTGGCTTATTTCACTGAGCATAATTCCTTCTAGCTCCATCCACGTTGCTGTGACTGGCATGAGTTTATCTTTTTTTGATTGCTGAATAATTGTGTATATATACCACATCTTGATACAGTCATCTATTTTTGGGCATTAGGGTTGTTTCCAGATTTTACCTATTGTAAATAGTGCTGCAATAAACATAGGGGTGCAAGGGGTACAGGTGTTCTGTTGAATCAATGTTTTTGTATCCTTTGGGTAGATTCCTAAGAGTGAAATTGCTGGGTCCTATGGTAGCTCCATTTTTAGTAGACCAAGGAACTTCCAGACAGCTTTCCATAGTGGTTGGACCATTTTGCACTCCCACCAGCAATGTAGGAGAGTTCCTTTTTCACCACATCCTCGCCAACATTTGTGTTTTTTTTTTTTTTTTTAAAGATTTATTTATTTATACAAGCACTGGGTACAGTCAGAAGCGTGGGAGGGTGAGGGAGTTCACCAGAGTCAGAGCGGAGAGCAGAGCAGGCAGACTGACAAGTACACTGCTGAGGGGAGCAGCGGGTGGTCTGTGCACCCGCTTGAGAGAGGTCTGCGCAACATGTGGGACCCTCATCCCGTGGCTGGGATCGAACCAGCCCTGCAGAGGCTGAGGGCAGCTTCGCAACCCAGAGCTCAACCGCTGTGCCACTGGGGAGGCCCTGTTGTTGTTGTTGTTTTAAGGTTTATTTATGCATACAAGAACTGGGGTATAGGCCAGAAATGGGGGGTGGGCAGTGAGAGGATTCACCAGAGACAGAGTGGGGAATAGAACAGGCAGACAGACTGAAATACACTGCCAAGGGGAACAGCGAGCGAGACGGGAGAGGTCTGCTTCACCATATGGGTTATTCCCTAGCCAGCCCGGGATCCAACTCCTGTTGCAGAGGCTGCGGATTGCTTCATAGTGCGGTGCTTAACCCCTTCCGCCACCAGGGAGGCCCTTGCCAACATTCGTTATTGATAGTTTTTTGATAGTGCCATTCTTGCTGGTGTAAGGTGGTATCTCAGTGTGGTTTCGATTTGCATTTCCCTGATAATAAGGGATGTTGAACATTTTTTTATATGCCTGTTGGCCATTTACATTTCCTCTTTGGAGAAATGTCTTTTAAGTTCTGCCCATTTCTTGACTAGAGTGTTTCCTTTGTTTTTGTTGAATCGGTACACTGTAATATCTAAGGTGACCCATGAAGTAGTAGTAGCGAAGTATATAAATAATAAGCTAATACAGGGCCAGGGGATGAAATAATAAATATTTAGCCTGAAAGGAGGGGAAAAAACAAGAAGAGGATGGATGAATTAAATATAAAGCAGTGTAATGACAGATTTAAATCTAGATATTTAAGTATGTTAGGGGTGATCAGACATACAGTGGTTAAAAATAAAGTCATATCTGATTTTTTCTAAAGATTTATTTATTTATGCATACAAGAACTGGGGTACAGGCCAGAGGTGTGGGGGCAGGGGGTGAGAGGATTCACCAGAGAGAGTGGGGAGCAGACTAAGCAGATCTACTGAAATACACTGCTGAGGGGAGCAGTCGGCGAGGCAGGAGAGGTGTGCTGTGTCATGTGGGTAGCTCCCTGGCTGGTCGGGGATTGAACTTGTGCTTCAGTGGCTGCGGAAAGCTTGATAGCTCTGTTTTTAACCCCTGCACCACCAGGGAGATCCCCATATCTGATTTTTTTTAAAGGATTCAGTTATTTGCAGGTTTTATAACTTGTAGCTTGAAGTTTAGGATACAGAAATATTGAACGTAAAAAAGACGGAAAAGGGGCCTCCCTGGTGGCGCAAGGGGTTAAGACGCGACCTATGAAGCTAACCTCAGGCGCTGTAGCACGAGTTCAATCCCTGGCCTGGGAGCAACCCATGTGGTGCAGCAGACCTCTCCTGACTCGCCCGCTGTTCCCCTCAGCAGTGTATTTCAGTTCATCTTCCTGTTCTGTTCCCCGCTGTCTCTGATTAATCCTCTCACCCCCCCACCCGGCCCCCGCACCTCTGGCCTGTACCCCAGCTCTTGTATGCATAAAAATAAAATGAATCTTTAAAAAAAAAAAAAAGATGGGAAAGGTATACAGTTCATACTTAGGTAATAAACCTCTCCTCTTGGATCATGCTGTACCTCACTCTTAATACAATTGCTAGATTTAAATCAAATAATCTTACCTAAGAGTTTTTAAAAGCACTGTCCTCTATGCATATTAAGTATCTGGTAAATTTAACTATTTTGTTTTGAGGCACCTTGTTTCCTGAGATACTGTTTTTTTCCATTTTGAGCTGATATAACGAGGATGATGACTCTTACACAATTGTACATTATTTGCCTTCATAGGTTGCTTGATTTTTCAGTAACTTCCATCTGCAGACATTTTATCCTTTTTCTTAAGCTTCACTGTTTTCATGTAACTCACAACTTAGGTTGTTATCTCTTTATTTTAAATCTGCTTTGTGGTGCCTCTGTTGAATGATAATATGTGTCCTATTTTATGCTGAAGTAATATCCTTTATTACCTGTAGAATTTTGTAACTAAGTGATCTGTCGCTCTTTTTTTTTCCTGAGTTTTTGTGAAAGTGTTCAAGTTCTTTGGAATTATTATTTTGTAAATTATCTCCATAATGTATATAGATTTCTTCTATCATGTCAATTGTACTTTAGCATGAGGACATTTAGAAGAATAGGTGGGATATAATTCTTTATAAAATAAAGCTATAGAACTAGAGAACAATTATGTCTGGACCTTTGCATTCTATGACTTTGTTATATGTTAGGTAAACATCCTTTGGGAGACATTTTAAAAGACTTGTTCTGCTTTGCCTCTGATGTTTCATTTAGCTTGTTGGGAAGTAATAATGCTTTTTGTCAGACTGAAGGAAAGGACTGAAAATCATTTAAGTGATTTATGATTGACTCAGATCTGAATCACCTAAAGCTAGTTTCCCTAAACAACCAAAATTGGGACTGAATTTGTACTCTTTACCCATATGTTAGCTGGCACATTTGTATCTATGGAGTTTTGTAAGTCTTTTAGAATTGGCTTAATGAGAGTATAAGTTGGGGTTTTTTTTCTTCTTTAGAACATGTGAAAATGAAATTTGTCATAATTAATTTGGTGGTTAGCAGTAGAGCCAAATATCTGTATCTTGTTTTGATGTTGATGATGAGGCTTAATTCTAGCCATTTAAAAATAATCGTTTGCTTGATATTAACAAAATTGTAAGTTCTTGTAATTTAAATAATGATTTCTTTATAGCAAGTCATCTGACCTGGACTATCAAGGAATTTACGAGAGATGGAAGACTTGACTCATCTATTTTGGTTTCATTCTTGTATTCATTACTATTCTCATTTCTCCTTGAACAAGGTGTTCCTTCAGCAGCTTTGATGAAATACTGGAATGTACTTTTTTACTTGAGCGATTTTCATAAATTAAAAGTTGGAAAGTTAAATCCCAGATTAATGATAACCATGTTGTATTATTTAATAGGCAGTGAAATCAGCTGTGCAAACCATCACTGTTGGAGGTGTGAACACATCACAATTTAAGACAATTATTCCTCTGGCAACTGCTCCCAATGTTCAGCAGATTCAAGTGCCTGGAAGCAAGTTTCATTATGTCCGACTTGTTACTGCCACAACAGCCAGCAGCTCAACACAACCAGTCAGTCAGAATCCCAGTACAAACACTCAGCCTCTTCAGCAAGGTTAGTAGCCATTTCTTAAAAACAGTAATTGAAGTTTTGAACATTTGATAAAGAACGTTAGACCTTTTTTGCTTAAGTCCTGCTTAAGTATTAAGTTTGAATCAACAGCTAGTGCAGAGGCTAGTGAAATGGAATCATAGTTGGATAAACTAGAATATTTCATTCTGCTAGGCATTATCTTTAGTTTGCGAGTAGCCATTTTATTACTGCTTTAAAGACCTACCTTTTTTTGCCAGTGGGATAGATTTACATGGACCAAATTATTTATCTTATTTTCTTCCTTTTTTTGAAAGATTTATTTATTTATGCATACAACAACTAGGGTACAGGCCAGAGGTGTCGGGAGTGAGGGGATTCACCCGAGACAGAGTGAGGAGCAGAACAGGCAGATCTACTGAAATACACTGCTGTGGGGAGCAGTGGGCGAGACAGGAGAGGTCTGCCGTGCCATGTGGGTTAGCTCCCTGCTGATAGTTTCGTAGTGCTGAGACTTAACTCCTTGTACCACCAGGGAGGCCCTATTTATGTTATTTTCTTTTCTTTTCTTTTTAAGTTTATTTATTTATTTATACAAGCGCTGGGTATAGTCAGAAGCGTGGGAGGGTGAGAGAATTCACCAGAGCCAGAGCAGAGAGCAGAAAAGGCAGACTGACAAAGCACACTACTGAGGGGAGCAGCAGGCGGCAGGAGAGGTCTGTGCGCCACCCTTGCCCAGCGGCCGGGGATTGAACTGGTGCTGCAGAGGCTGTGGGCAGCTTCGCAACCCAGCGCTCAACCGCTGCGCCACCGGGGAGGCCCTATGTTATTTTCTAAACTGTGAAGTCACTTAATAGGATCTGAGTTACCCAAGGTGTAGATGAAAAGCATTTTATGTCCTATACTTATTTGAATCTATAGTTGTTAATAAAAAGTGAGGAAAATGATCTGTTACCTTGCTTAGTTGTACTTTTCCTAGAGGACATTTCTGTGGTCCTTCCATTTTCTGTCTGTGTTTAACCCTTAGTACCATAGACTCACATACATAACCTTTCCCTGTATTTATCTACTTGTTAGAAAATTGAGTGGTGCATCAGGATCAGGACAGATTGTAGTTTAGGACCTAATTTTCTTTTTTGGAAGATTGCTGCATATTCTACCTATGCCAAAAAGCAGTTGATGGCAAGTGAATGATTTGTTGTTTACTGATTGTAAACAGAAGAATGAATGACCACTTGTTTACTCTTTCTTTTTTATTAAGGGATCAAAAGTTGGAGCTTTCCATTGCCCATAGCTAGCTTACCTAAGGGAACTGACAGAAAAATCCTATTTTTTTTTTAATTCTTTTTTTAAAGATTTATTTATTCATTTACACAAGATCCGGGGTACAGGCCAGATGCGCGGGAGGGTGAGAGGATTCACCAGAGACAGAGCGGGGAACAGAACAGGCAGACTGACGAAATACACTGCTGAGGGGAGCAGCGGGCGAGACAGGAGAGGTCTGCTGAGCCATGTGGGACCCTTGCTGGCCGGCTGGGATCGAACCAGCGCTGCAGAGGCTGTGGACAGCTTCACAGTGCGGTGCTCAACTGCCTGTGCCACCAGAGGAGGCCCCCTATTTGTGTTTTAAATTGCTAATGGCAGAAAACACAGGATGCATGAGGGAAACAGTATTTTAGTGTGTGGTCTATTAAAATTGGACATACCAAGTAATTACATTTTCTAATTTTTTTTCCTTTATTGAGGTACCATTGATTTACATCCTTGTTAGTGTTTTTAAGTGTACAGTTTCCCCCTTTAGGTGTAGTCATCTTAGTGCATCTATCACCAAAGAACCCTCAGTTTCCCACCAAAGTCTATTTTTTTCTCACCCCACTCTCTTCCCACCCCTCCCCTCGTCTGGATGCCTCAGTTCTATGGTCCACTTTCAAGAGTTTAAAGTTTTTCTTTCACCCTTTGTTTGATTTATGTATATTTCACATACAAGTGACACCATCGGTATTTGTCTTTCTCCTTCTGGTTTATTTCGCTTAGTATAATCCCTTCCAGCTCCATCCATGTTGCTGTAAATGGTATTTTCTAATTCTTTAAATTGATTTTGGAAGGAACTTTTTTATAGTGTTCTTAATGAGAGGGAAAAATGCAACTTATATTTTGGAGGAATGGGTTGGACATTTCATAATTCTGTTTTTTTTTTTTTTTTAACCAGTTCTTTTTTTTCCTATTTTATGTCTGTCTTTCTGCCTTTCTTTTTCTCTACTCTTTTTGCCTCCTGGCTATGCCTCCCCTCAGGCCTACCCTACTGCTTTCTGCTTCCCTACATCTTCCCTTTTTTCTGTGTGTTCTTTCTGTTCTCCCTCTCTGTCTTGCTCCGTCAAGTCTATCTTATACACCCTCTTCTCACCAACTTTCATAGCTATAACAACCTTGCAATTTCCCTTATATCCACTCTCATTTTTACTTTTGTCTTTCTCTCCTATCCCATTAAAGATCTGAACATAAATAATACATGATTTTGAGGAATAATGACTTATATTTACAATTAGAGATATATTAGTAGTTACAATAGTTCATGAAATGTATTAATATGTCTTTCTAAAGGCTTAACTCCTTATAAGGATTTACTTAACTGCCAGAGGGAGTTGGGTTTATCTTGTACATTTTCTCACCAAAGACTTAAGTCAGTGTGAAAGGCTCCACCTTGTTAATTGCTGATTGCATGGAAGGTAGTACAGTAAAAGAACCCAGAAGAATAATTAGTTAACCTCTTCACAGGGTAATCTCTTAATATTTTGGTGAGGGAGGAAATAAACTTAAGAAATTAAGAAGCCTAAAACATTTGTAGGTATGGGTTCTGAAATTTGGAAGGAGGGTATTCTAAAAATATTATTATTATTATTATTATTATTATTTTAAGATTTACTTATTTATGCATACAAGAATAGGGTATAGACCAGAGGTATGGGGGTGAGAGGACTCACCAGAGACAGAGAGGGGAGCAAAACAGGCAGATCTACTGAAATACACTGCTGATGGGATCAGCGGGTAAGGCAGGGAAGGTCTGCTGCGCCATGTGGGTTGCTCCCTGGCCTGCCCGGGATCCAACCTATGCTGCAGTGGCTGGCGATAGCTTGGTAACACTGTGTCTTTAATCCCTGTACAAACAGGGAGGCCCTAAAATTATTATTCAGAATTCCTGCTAAAGACCAAAAAAAATAAAAACGTGCCACTATCTATGAAAAATACACTAGTAGTAATGTGGGATTGTACTTGAAAGTTAGGAGAAGAAATCCAGACTTTGACTTAGTTATACAAACAATCTTGCACCTTTCCCTAGATATATTATAAAAGGTCTATTTTCTGGGGCCTCCCCTGGTGGCGCAGCGGTTGAGCGCTGGGTTGCGAAGCTGCCCGTGGCCTCTGCAGCGCCGGTTCAATCCCCTGCTGCTCCCCGGCCACCGGTGGAGGGTCCCACATGGCGCACAGACCTCACCTGCCGCCCGCTGCTCCCCTCAGCAGTGTACTTAGGTCCTTCTGCCTGCTCTGCTCCCCGCTCTGGCTCTGGTGAATTCTCTCACCCTCCCGCGCTTCTGACTGTACCCAGTGCTTGTATAAACAAAGCAAAAACAAACAAATAAATAAATAAAATAAAACATGCCTCTATAAAATTAAAAAAAAAAAAAGGTCTATTTTCTGATCACTTCCAATTCTGGAATGCCAGGTTTCAGTTAAAACACAGCATGCAGATGCCAAGCTAATGTAAACTTATCTAGGTTTGTGTGTGTGTGTGTGTGTGTGTGTGTGTGTATGTGTGTGTGTGTGTTTTGCATGCCTGGGGATAGCTGTACTCTCCTTGTCATTTAGCTGAGAATCATCAAAGTCTCCACTTGATGTTATAGATGCAGCATACACTTCTCCCCCATTATTTCACAGACCACCAGGAAGTTCTTGACATTCCTCTGACTGCTGTATTCTTTCAGAATCTCTGCTTTGTGTACTCACAGAACAATGACCAGCATCTCCCCTCCAAGGAACAAGTGGTGTGGGGAGTTCAGGCTTTTGTGTCCCGAGCACAAATTCAGGCTTTTTATTTCTTTTGATTACTTTTAGTATTACTAAGACCAATCTACAGTGGTCATTATGTCACTAAAATTAAAATAATTGAGGAGCATTGAAACAGAACAGAGAACAATTGCAAATCCAGTGTCCAGATCTCACTGCTCCTATGCATGGTTCACAATTATATACTATTTTTGTATAACAACTTTTATTGAGATATAATTCATATCTACCATAAAATGCACCCTTTTTGAACATATAATTTAGTGGGTTTTAGTCTATTTAGAGATAACACAATCATTGCCATTAAGCATCCACTCTTTCTAGAGGTCTCATCTGCCTCCTCACCCTAGTTGGTCGCCTTACAAGCTCTGCACCCTGTCAAATCAGAGTACTCACTGACGTTCTTCCAGGACTCTTAACTTCTCTTTAGCCATCATCCTTCCCATCCTCACCAAAAGAAATAAATCCTGCTAGTATTGTTAACAGCCTTTCTTTCCAAGAAAATCTTTTTTTTTTTTTTGTTCTTGTTTAGTACAGTTTAGACCCCATTCTCAGTCTCTCAGACCAGGCTTTAGGCCTTTTGCATAAATAAAACCCACAGAGATATCCTTTCTATCTTCTTAAATCCCTTCCTTACATATGGAAATGGTCAATAAACAGTATTAAAAATTGTCCTTCTTTTGGTTCAAACATACAGCGCAAGTTCCAACCCTTCTCCTGAATTTCATCATAACATTTCTCCAGATCAGGTTTCATCTCTTCAAATCACCTCATCCTTGAATTTTCTGTTAAAATGGCTATCTTTTCCCGGCCATTTAAATGCTTTTCAGTGATTTTTCCTTCCCTTATACATATTCTTCCTGCCTTCCAGCTGGGTGATAATTCATGCTGCTTTCACCTCCACATGTCTCTTGCACCTGCTCTCTTCACTCCAAGTACTGTCACCACAGATTAGACCCTGATCTTTTGTACTCTTCTAACTTTTCTTGTTTCTTACAGCTCCATTATGTCTTTACATACTGCTACCAAATATTTTCTTTTTTCTAATAGTCCAATAATATTTCTGCACCTCAAAATTCTCAGACATTTCTCACTGCCTGCTGAATTTAAAAATATAAATGCAAATTTCTACCCTAGTGTTTAAGGTCTTCAGGAAAATGACCACAATTTGCTTTTTGCCTGTGCTTGCCCACTTTAACCATGGGTTCCAGTCAAATTTGTCTGTTCATCAACATTTTGTGAATAAGCTTTGCTGTTTCCTAGGATCAAGCCTCCACTTGTGCATCTGCCTCTGCATCAAATATCTTCCTCCATTCTGTCCTCTCTACAACCCACTTAGGAAACTGTGTTCTCTATACATTCATTTTTATTCCCATCCTCTGCCAGTCACATGTGTGTTCTCTCTTCTTTGGATCTCACAGCACTTTCCCTTCAGTATTTATATTATTTGGGTCTAATCTGCTCTTCATCAATGTAATCTCTGAGCTGATGTCTTGTACTTTAGTTTCCCTGAAACTCCATTGACAATGCCATTAATTTAGTAGTAAGTTGCATTAATAACAGTAACAATAATGGTAACAATAATGGTAACTAATAATGGTAACTAACATTCAAAACCAACTATTTGTTAGGCAATTCTTTTTTTAAAAGTTTATTTATGCATACAAGAACTGGGTTACAGGCCAGAGGTGTGGGGGTGAGAGGATTTACCAGAAAGAGAGTGGGGAGCAGAACAGGCAGATTGATTGGAATACACTGCTGAGGGGAGCAGCGGGTGAGTCAGGAGAGGTCTGTTGTGCCATGTGGATTGTTCCCTGGCTTCCCCAGGGATCAAACTTATGCTGCAGAGGCTGCGGATAGCTTCATAGTGCGTGCTTAACCCCTGCACCACCAGGGAGGCCCTTGTTAGGCAATTCTAATAACTTTTCATGAGTTTGCCTGGTTAATCCTTATACCCTATAGGAGAGATTCTATTCCCAGATTGTAAATAAGAATATAGACAAAAAGAATTTAAGTAGTGGGTGAGTTACAGACATTTGAAAGATTGTCCTTTATAAGTAAAGATTGCTCCAAATATCAAACAAATGGAATTCTTTAAACTCTTTGATGAGGGGCCTCCCCGGTGGCGCAGCGGTTGAGCGCTGGGTTGCGAAGCTGCTCGCAGCCTCTGCAGCGCCGTTTCAATCCCCGGCTGCTCCCCGGCCACCGGTGGAGGGTCCCGCATGGCCCGCAGACCTCTCCTGCCGCCCGCTGCTCCCCTCAGCAGTGTACTTCGGTCCTTCTGCCTGCTCTGCTCCCTGCTCTGGCTCTGGTGAATTTTCTCACCCTCCCGCGCTTCTGACTGTACCCAGTGCTTGTATCAATCAATCAATCTTGTATAAATAAATAAATAAATAAAAAATAAACTCTTTGATGAGGATATCTTGCATGAACTAAGTGTTACAAGTGTTTTAAATACTATTTTCTATAAGTAATTTTTCCTTTTTCTTCCCTTTTTTAAAAAAGCAAAGCCAGTGGTGGTTAATACCACTCCAGTGCGGATGTCAGTTCCAATTGTCTCAGCACAGACTGTCAAGCAAGTGAGTGTCACATAAATCCTTTTCTTAGTCTTTTTCAAACTGTCAGTTTACTTTTAAAATTGAAAGCTAAGATTAATGTACAAGATATATATATTGAGTTAGGAAGCTGTAAAATTTATTTTTGTCATTGTGGATATACTTCCTTTCTTTGTAGGTTGTTCCAAAACCAATCAATCCGACTTCACAAATAGTTACTACCAGCCAACCACAGCAGCGGCTCATCATGCCTGCCACTCCACTGCCACAGATCCAGCCAAACCTCACCAACCTGCCACCAGGCACTGTGCTGGCACCCGCTCCAGGAACAGGGAATGTGGGTTATGCAGTGCTTCCGGCACAGTATGTTACTCAGGTATAACGGGAGAGGTAGTCATTCCATTTCAAAAAGATAATTGTTTCTAAGATGTTCAGCACTATCCCATTCTGAAACTACTCAAAACGCCTGATTCAGTATTAAAATGATTTCCTAAAATCTTGAAATTTTTTTTAATCTTGAAATGTTAACAACTTCTGAGTTTATGTATATCTAGCATTTAAAAATATACAGCATGAGTTAATATATAAGTCAGGTAACTTGGAGCTGAGAACAGTTTGGAGAGGACATGGTCATGTAGATATAGGAGAAAATAAGTTGAAGTTAAAGTCAACAGCATCCAATTGGCTTTGGAAAAGACTATAATAAAGCTGCTCTCACTTGTGAATATGAAGCCACTGGCTTGTTCTTGGAAAACAGACTGTGAGATATATTTCCAGGTGTTGTTCCTTTAGTGATCGGTTCAGACACTCATCTGGTCATCTATAGAGTCAAAGCCATGTATTGTCTAGTTGACGGGCCTGGGTTAGGAGTGCTTTTAGGAAGCAGGTGGAAGTTCATCTAAGAATCAGCAAATTAACACCAGGTTCTAAGCTTTTGACTTGATCTACTCAGGTTATGAGAGAGAAAGAGAAACATCTGTGTAATTCAGTAAAGTGAACTTTATAGTATATTATGTGGCACATTAAAAATTGCTCTTGAGAATGATAATTCTCATAAATAACTTTTGGGGTAGTTTTTTCTGTCAGTTTTATCAAAATATAATAAAATTTTAAGTATAAAAAAACTTAGTATTCAGTATTTTTATCATTTGCATTTCATGTTCAGAAATCAGTATAAAAAAGAATCTTAATTATTGTGCATGTAACTTCATTCCCTGTAACTTGTGATGATCAATATAATACTATTTTATTTGCAGTAGACACAGTCCATTTTTCTAAAGAATTGAAGTTATTGTAATACTTTCAGGGCATTCATCTAGATATTCTGATATACACACTCCTTTAAATATTTCTTTAAATTTTTAAAAATTTCTATTTTTAATGAAATTTTATAAATTTACAACACTATATAATTTTGGTGAGTACAACTTCACACCATTTTATATGTATAATCCTCACCCACCACCAAGGTTCTCTTAACCATTTCCGTGATCAAATTGGCCCTTCTACCATTTCCTCCCACTTCCTTTCCCTCTCCCCTCTGGTAACTACCTTATTTTTCACAGTCTAAAGTACATTTTGTTGTCTAAAGTTCATTAACTTTGGCTATTTATATTCCACACGTGAGAGAGACCATCCAGTTGTTTTTTTTTTTTTTATAAATTTATGTGCCATGATTTAATAGAAAAGTGAACAAAGGGAATAATCCACAATTAAAAACAGAAAAATACACAACATACATACATAGAAGTGACAATATGAATGTTTGTTTCCAGAACTTGCATTCCAAGTTACTATCTACCACTCTTGGTTTGTTTCTTTCTAATATATACTGAACCTACTCAAATATACACCTTAAATTAAAAAAAAAAAACAAAAACAAAAAAACTCTCAGTTCACTGTACTTGCCTCCAAAGCAAATACACTATATCATACTGTCCTTAAAAGGAAAACACCCTACATGCTTTACTGGAGTCTCTCATTTTTGCCTCATTTTTGCAGGGTAAAGTATTCTTGCTTGGCATTTGCTGTCTTGAGGTTTGTTGAATATGTTACTCCATTCTCTTCTTGCCCACAGTGTTTCTTTGGAGCAGTCTGAGGTTATCCTGAACGATTTTCCCTTAGAGGTTATCTGTTTCTTCCCCCTTGCCAGTTTCAATATTTTTTCTTTGTATTGCTAGATCATATGATATTTCCATTTTCAAATTCCTTTCTCTTCACAGCCTTGCCAGCTCTTGTTTCTAGTAATTTTGATATAGGCCATTCTCACAGGTGTGAGTTTATAGCGTTGTGGTTTTGATTTGCATTTCCCTAAAAGTGAAGTTGAACTTTTTTTTTCATATACCCATTGATTATCTGTATGTCTTCTTTGGATAAGTGTCTGTTTAAATCTGCCCATGAAAATATTTATTTTATTTGTACCTCTCTTTACGTGTAGCTACAGCAGTCTTCATATGTGTCTATAGCAAGCAACTCTACCTTTACTGGAACACCTGGTATCCAGACCCAGGCAAGGCTTCCATTCAATGGGTGAGTATTTTGAAAATATGCTAGTTAGCTTGTTAGATCAGGTTTAAATGCAGCATCAAGTATATTTATTTCAAAATATATTTGATTTATATCCCCCCTCAAACTCAGTGTGAGCATCTCTATAGTACCTTTTAGTTTGAAATACTTTAAACAGAAAAGTTACAAGGATAATCAGAGAACTCTCAAATATTTTTTACTTGGATTCACCAATTTTGTCCTATTTGCTTTATTTCTCTCTCTCATCTTGACTATGTCTTTTAAGTGACCATAGGTAGTTTTTAAGTTGTTATGTTAGGTTCTTATTTCTTTTGTTTGTTTTTTATTCTGTTAATTGGTGCCTTTGTAGTAGTGGTTTAGAAGCAATGCTTAATTACATGGAACCAGTTGACCCCTCTCTTCCCAAATTTCAATTTCACACAGTCCTTTTTCGTTCAATACCAATTGTCATTGAATCCCAGAAGTTTTGGGGAGATTTCAACTTTAGTCCATTCAGTTGGAAGACTTTTTGTGGTTTCTTCTTTAGAAACTATCAAAAACTGTAAAATATTATTTTTAAATCTCTATCTTGCTGCTGTATCTTTTCTTATTACCACATGCTTTTGAATATAATGTAAATGGAACAAATGTAGCAGACTTACTTTTATTAATGTAGCAGACTAACTTATTAAAGTTAGACACTGTTTTTAAGCTTTATTTTAGAAGGAATTCCTAGATTGAAGACTTTAACTTTAAATTGGTACCTGTAATTGATTAAAATGCCTTTCTTTGGTTTATGTCTCATAGCATAATCCCATCAGAGTCTGCCAGTCGACCCAGAAAGCCCTGTAATTGTACAAAATCACTGTGTCTCAAATTGTAAGTCTTTTTCCTGTACAACTGAAAAATGCTTTTAAAAATAGTTAACTAAAAATTATTTTTTAAAAAATGTAATTGATTTACTTTTAACTGAAGTAATATTGGGGTATCCCCATCACAACTATTACCACCATAGTATACCTACTACCAACTCACCCATATTTCACCACCATAACAAATTTCATAAGCCTAGTAATTTAAATATATAGATGTCTAAGCACATGTGACAGTGTAAAAATACTCTTCATTCAAAAAGAGATCATTTTAGTCATCACCATAGATGAGGCATTGGCATAGGGGTTAGGGACACAGTAACTTGAGACAGACATAGTCTGTCCTTAATAATAACAAATTTGGGACCTCCCTCGTGGCACAACGAGTTAAGGCATAACTAATGAAGCTATCCGCAGCCACTGCAGCCCAAGTTAGATCCCTAGCCCGGGAGCTACCCACAAGACACAGCAGATCTTTCCTGACTCACCTGCCGCTCCCCTCAGCAGTGTATTTTGGTCAGTCTGCCTGTTCTGTTCCCCACCTTGTCTCTGGTGAATCCTCTCACCCCCACACCTCTGGCCTGTACCCCAGTTCTTGTATACATAAATAAATTAATCTTTTTTTAAAAAATAACAAATTTGGTCTTATTTATAACCTTTTTATTTCCTCTCTTAAATGAGATGATACTCTGAGCAGTTTAAAAATTGTCAGATGATTTGCTTATCAATACTGAGCTAAAAGATTTGATGTGAAGGGCCTCCCCTGGTGGCACAGCGGTTGAGCGCTGGGCTGCGAAGCTGCCCGCAGCCTCTGCAGCACCCGTTTTATCCCCAGCTGCCGGCGAGGGTCCCACATGGTGCACAGACCCCTCCTGCCGCACCTGCTGCTCCCCTCACAGTGTATTTTGTCAGTCTGATTGTTCTGTTCCCCGCTCTGGCGCTGGTGAATTCTCACCCTCCCACACTTCTGACTGTACCCAGTGCTTGTATAAATAAATAAATCTTTTTAAAAAAAAATATATCGGGGCCTCCCTGGTGGTGCAGGCAGTTGAGCGCAGCACTGTCAAACTGTCCACAGCCTCTGCAGCACGGGTTTGATCCCGGCTGGCCTTGGAGATACCCACATGGCGAGGCAGACCTCTCCTGTCTCACCCGCTGCCCCCCTCAGCAGGTGTTTCAGTCAGCCTGCCTGTTCTGTTCCCCACTCTGTCTCTGGTGAATCCTCTTGCCCTCCAACACATCTGGCCTGCACCCAGTTCTTGTGTAAATAAATGAATCTTAAAAAAAAAAAAAAAGATTTGACGTGAAACAGTTAGATGAACAGCATTGGTTTATAGAGGATTTAGAATCCTCTACATGACTATAGTTCAAGTAGGCAGGTTCCATAGTAGAATATAGCCTGTGTATTTCCTTTTCCATGATTTTGAAATAATTTATTCTGGGAACACATAAAAGTCACATTTCTTTGTGTTTCTAAATCAAAATTTGAGGAAATTTAATTTTTATCTTTGTCAATAAGTGGTTGGCAATCAATACATGATGTTTATTCTAAAACTAGGTGTCTCCAAGTACATATTTCAATGCATAGATAATGCTGTTGAATCAAATCATTTCTAGTTTTAACAATGACTTTTACATGACTTATGCTAATTTTTGTATTTCAGATACTGTGATTGCTTTGCAAATGGTGAATTTTGCAACAACTGCAATTGTACTAATTGTTATAACAATTTGGAACATGAAAATGAAAGGCAAAAAGCAATAAAGGTGATGATTTTTATTTCATTTGAGTGACAAAAATTTTTCAATTGAGCCTGTTTTTTGTTTTTAAGGAAATCAAAATTAATTCCCTTTGCAATGTTTTAATTTTAATGTACTGTGATTTACTTCATTTGATATTTGCTCTGTTTTGGTAGGCATGCCTTGACAGAAATCCAGAAGCATTTAAGCCTAAAATAGGAAAAGGGAAAGAGGGAGAATCAGATCGCCGTCACAGCAAAGGATGTAATTGCAAACGATCAGGATGTCTTAAAAACTACTGTGAATGTTATGAGGTGAGGTGCTGGTTGGGGAAAATAATCTAGCCATCTTTTGAAAATATTGGGCTAGCAGAAACGTCATGATGCATTTTTGCTTGAAAAACAAAAAATATGACTTTTCCGATAACCCAATAACTTTAGGATGGGCATACTATAAAAATTTACTTCAAAACTGGGAGACTTTGATGTTGTAGTTTGACTGTATTGTCATCCCAAGGACCTTAACTTGAAGAATATCTTCCCTCCTCTCAAGCAGGACTTCAGAGAAAGGATACTTTGGTTTTGTCTTTACAGCTTGGGAGGTCTCATTAACTGATTTACCAGCTCCTACTTGTTAGTCATCACACCTGAAAATGTGTATTGATCAGTTTACTAATTTTCAATAAAAATAATGCCAAAGTGGATTAGAAAATCTACAGCAGTGCCTTAATTAAGGAGCAGTGCTACCCATGCTCCCCCATGCCAGTGGGGGAAAAAATATGTGTAAACAAACAGCCTGCATCCCATGGTGCTGTCCTGAAAGTAAAGATTTATTTTGTCCAAAATGCCAGTAATGCCCTGAGAAGAACACTGTTTTGTGGAAAACTAAATTCTTTTAAGAAGTAAGAAGTTTGCATTGTGAGCATAAAAATATAGGAAAAGAGGAATATGGACTATTGCAAGATGAGGTTATTGGTCATTATGAGGTGATTGCACCCATTTTTCCAATTTCACCATCCCACTAAACTGACTTCTAAAATGTATGGCTCAGGCATCTTTTCTAGAGAATGTAGTTGATAGTGTGCTTTGAAAGGTCTGCTTTATATAAAATTAACAATCTAGTCATGCCCACGATTAACTTGGGTTACTGTCATTGGTTTCTTGATGTACTTGAAACTCTTTGCTGACAGTCTTTTGAATTGAGTCATTTCTGCAGTTAGCTATTCTTATAATTATATTTTCATTCTTTCAGATTTCATATTCAGGGGAGACCTTATTTTTAGTTTTGGCCTAAGGCCTACCCATCTACACTTGGTAAAATAGCACCACCAAGGAATACTCTCTCCCCTGTTGAGGCTTGCTCTGCTAAAGGAACATGTACTTGTAGTGTCTTCTCACATACAAAATGTGTGTACTGTATTCTCTTGAGTAGTGGATTCTAATTTACATATTTCAATGGTTACTCAAATGTAGTAAAAATAACATCTTGTTAGTCCTAAGTCAGTACAAGCGAAGATTGTGACCAAGATTATTTTCAAAGGTCTCTTAAGTAATATTTCAAAGTCCAAAATCCAGTCAATTTTATCCACTGTCAGAAAAGATTGATTCTTTTGTTTGAATACCTGGTAAAATAGGTGGCTTCTAAAAACCATGTCATGCATATATGCAATTAACAACAGGCAATCTTTTTTATTAAACTATCAAACCAAGTCTGGAAAAGAGAAGAGGTGGAAATTGTTGTAAAGCTGGGTAAAGAGGGCAAAGAAACCCTTTCACATATATGGCACTGAGCAATTGATAGCATATAGAATTCGAATATACATGGACTAATCATTTCATTGAGTTGGTTAACAAATCTGTGAATTAATAGAATTAGAAAAGACAGTGGACTGACTGGAAAATGTTATAAGAGGGGGCCTCCCTGGTGGCCTAGGGCTTATATCTCAGCAGTACTGCCCAGAGGGCCCACCGTGACGGCTTGAGTTGATCTGGCCACGGAGCTAACCCACATATGGCGCAGCAGACCTCTACTGTCTTGCCCACTGGTCTCCTTAGCAGTGTATTTCAGTGAATATGCCTGTTCTGCTCCCAACTCTGTCTCTGGTGAAATCTTTCACCCCTACACCTCTAGCCTACACCCCAGTGATGGCCTGAGTTGATCTCCTGGCCAGGGAGCTAACCCACATATGGCACAGCAGACCTCTCCTGTCTTGCCCGCTGCTCTCCTTAGCATTGTATTTCAGTGAATATGCTTGTTCTGCTCCCCACTCTGACTCTGTTGAAACCTTTCACCCCTACACCTCTAGCCTACACCCCAGTTCTTCTATGCAAAAATAAATAAAATCTAAAAAAGAAGAAAAAGAAAATGTTATAAGAGAGAATCTTTGACATTCAGGACATAACAAAATGTCTAATAACTAATTTGTTGTTCCAAATGGTTAAGAAATTAAAGAACTTAGAATACACTAAATTGTGACTAGTGGTAGCTAAGTGGCCCACTATGCATCAGCTGTGATGCTGTCTCACAGTTTGAGTTGAATTGAATCAACTTTTTTGGTCCTATTGATCTGCCTCTCTATAACACATTCACCTGCCTTTCACAGTGTGTTCATTGAATGTGTGGAGTGTCCACATTATTTAAGTGGTTATATCTTTTCTTATGAACTTCCCTTCCTTTTTTTGTTCTTTCTGACCACAGGGAAAGTTGAATAGCAAAACTAAAAGGGTGCTTGAGCTTCTGAGACATTATTAGTACCTTTGTTATGGTTCTAAACACTAATCCAAATTAACATTATTGGTATCTTTTTCCCTCCTATGTCAGGGATTTTATATCTTCATTAGACGCTTATCAAGTGTTGCTTTAGTTAGATTCCCAGACTCACAGTAACCCAACTAACTCAACCTGTATACCTATTTTTTTCCTTCTTGGTAAAATATTAGTGTATTAAAAGAAAGGAACAGAGTAAATGTTTAAGTCCTGCAATCCCGTCATGCCAGAGATTCATAATATGATCCATTTATGTTGTTAGATGCTATAGAAAAGGAGAGTAGTTGTATTTATTTATCTAACTGACATAGGTTTAATGAAGGAAATGCAGCTGACAAAAGAAGCTCATATTTATTTACTAAGAATACGGGAAATATACACTAAAGAACAAGGAGATCTCAGTTCCCCTCACTCCCCAAATCAGATAGTAAATATTGAGAAGAGTTGTAACATACATTGTTGGAGGGAATTTGGGAAAGGCTTCCATTATACAGTGCTGATGAGATGTGAGGTGCTATGGTAACTTTTTGAAAAAGTAATCTGGCCAGGTCTATTAAGATTCAAATACACGTGCCAGTGATTGCAATTTGAGAAGTTTTGCTCATAGAAATAAAGGTTTAATAAACATAAAAATCATTTAATGCATTGTTTGTAGGATTCAAGAACTGGAAATAAAATAAATATCAATCAGTAGGGAAACAAATGCCCAACTGAAATGTGGCCCATAACAGCGATTAGTACCCAGCTACCAAATAGAACAAATTTATTCTATGCCGGGTGACTTGGAAGAAAGGATTCCACGAGGTAGAGCAAGAAAAGGGAGATGCAGAAAAGAGTATATGATTTTGTAAAATCTGGAAAAAAGTTGACGTATGTATTTTTAAGTTGATAAATGTACATGTGCACAGTTTTTTTTTCATATACATATATATATTTTTTAAATATTTATTTTTGCATGGAAGAACTGGGGTGTAGGCCAGAGTTTGGGGGCTGGGAGGATTCTCCAGAGACAGAGTGGGGAGCAGAACAGGTAGATTGACTGAAATTCACTGCTAAGCGGAGCAGTGGATGAGACAGGAGAGGTCTGCTGCGCCATATGTGGGTCAGCTCCCTGGCCCGGGATTGAACTCAGGCCTTAGCTGGTGATAGCACTGAGACTTAAACCTAGGCCACCAGGGAGGCTCAAATACATATATTTTACATGAAAGTTCACAGTGGGTTATTAAAATAGGGAATCTGGTGAGAAGTGAGAGATAAATTCGAACTAAATAATAGCATCTATTAAATATCTCTAATGTGAAATTGTATGTGGGGGGCGAGGAGGGGAGATCACCAGCATGTTAATGGTGACTTGATTAAGGTGGCTGAATTCTGGATAACCCTTAAACTTGTTTTTAGTGTTCCATTCATATTCTTTATAAAGAACATGTTATTCATGTCAGAAGGAAAACTTGTAGTGGGGAGAAGGTTGACATGAAAAGGACTCAAGCACAAACATTGTATAACCTCTCTCAGTCTTGTTCATATTCACTTAGCTCTTTAGTATTTGTCAGCAAGAGAGGTTTTCATTTTATCTTCGGTCAGTTGACTAGTTAATTCTCTTCTTTGTTGATTTTACCATGGAGTCTACTTACAGTCATGTTTTTTGGTTTTTTGATGTGGAAGCTTTTCTTTTGTAAATCTTTTAGGCAAAAATAATGTGTTCCTCAATATGCAAATGTATTGGCTGTAAAAATTTTGAAGAAAGCCCAGAAAGAAAGACATTGATGCACTTGGCAGATGCTGCTGAAGTGAGGGTACAGCAACAAACAGCAGCGAAGACTAAGTTATCGTCTCAAATTTCGGACTTGCTTACTAGGCCAACACCAGCTTTGAGTAGCGGAGGAGGAAAGTAAGTCAGTATTTTAACCTTTTTTTGTAGTTTTACATCACTATACATTTTTAGTAAAGCTTCCTTTTGGGGGCAAAATTTAGTTCAGACTTTTAGTTATTATAAAACCAGTTTTTGTATTTTCTTTCTGTCTTTGGTTACTTGTGGTATATAAAGAAATTTAAAGTTAATAGAAAAACCACTGTAGCAGTTCTAAAATGCACAGTGATACCTTAGTTCATTATGCTTAATTTGATTTCTCCCTATTAAGATGAAGTAATTATGTAATTTGACAAACCCCCAGGAAAATCAAAATTATTACACCTTCTACTAATGTCATTCATATTTTTTGTATCTTCTCACCTTCCCTTGCCTTTTTCATGTCCTTGTAATACTTTTCCCATACCTATCACAAACTATTTTACTATAGCTCCTTATTTCACTGGTCTCCTGAGTTTTGGAGTTAAAAGCTTTATAGTGTCAGGCTGACATAAGTTTAAATACTATCAGTGCTTTGTAGCACTTTAAGAATTAGACAAGCATGTCATTTCTCTGAGCTTTTGTTTTCTTATCCTTCAAGTCACCCTTGCCACAGAGCTGAGAGGAGTACAGCATTTCTATCTCAGTATTTGGCAGGGACTATTACAACATAGTTTGCATAATTTGCTGTCTTGGATGTGTAGTAGAGTCCATTACAGTTTTCTTTGAGGGATTATTAAATGGCTTGTATTGCAAATGATATGTTATTTAAAATGCCTAAATTGAAATAAGATCCAGTGTTTTAAAAAGTAAGACTTCCTTTGTACAAAATGTATAGGTTTTAGTTTAAAAGAAGCTTACAACTGGAATGTAATTAGGAAATGGTTTGCTACGTTGACTAAATTAAGTGGAATGGGCAGTCACCTTAATGGGGATTATAATGTTTCTGGTCATCTGCTCCCAATAATCTTTCAGATTATTTCATCTTTATCTGGAGATAAAAGACATTGCTACACTAAAATATTTACAGTTATGTTTTCACTTTGGTAAACTGCTTATGATACTATATAGTATAAGAGAAAAATAATATGTTATAATCAAAACTGTAAATAAAAGTCATACCTGATTGTTAACAAGCTTTTTGTCTTTGAGTGACAAAAATCTAAATTTTTTTTCTGTAGTTTTCAAATATTACATAATGTGCACTACTATTATACAGTACTAGTAATCATACAATATTATTGTAATAGTCACATTCTTACAATATAAATTTGTTTTTTTACATTTTAAGATTTCTTTACTACTGGATAGCAGCCTACATCTTCAATTATCCTCTCTTGTCATAATGGGCCTTAATTTCAGACTTCATTGTTTTGTTTCTCAGCTTATATTTAATCATGACAGTTTACAGGTGACTGAGTTGCCTGGCTTTGTCTCCGAAAGGAAATCTTGATTACAGTATAGCAAACCTTAGGATAAGTTGCTCTAATATAGTACTTAATAGTTCAGGTCTTTATGAATGAAACTCCATGTATAGAGCAACATTTGGTTTTTCTTTTATTTTTTGAAATGGAACAGTGCAAAATTTTTACAATGTATAGGACTGTGAGAAAGTGCTTTATTTTTGGTGTTAGTAGAAAGAAGATAGTGTTTTCAGTTCCCAGCATTACTCATTTCATTCATTTAGTGAATATTCTTGGTATGTCCTTGTGTGAGGCTCTGTTGTAGGCAGCAATAAATAAAATTGTGAATTCTTGGAGCTTACAATCATGAATTGGGAGGATGTCTGTGGTAGAAATATCTAACATGTAGAATTACATCTTTTAATTAACCAGATAACCTTGTTTAGGTAATAAGACATAATGTAAAAATATGTATTTCTGAACAATATTTTTGAATAATAAAACTAGGTCTAACTTTTTAAAGCTCTTTGGGATGTGCTTTGCTCATTGCACAAATTGTAATGTTCACTCTGATGGTGAATCATGAAAATGTCAATATATTTCCAAATGAAAGAATGTCATCCACTGTTATTGTGATTCAACACCATCATCATTTCCCTTTTTCTCTCAAAAATCATTTCAGATTGCCATTTACTTTTGTAACTAAGGAAGTAGCTGAAGCCACGTGTAATTGCCTTCTTGCCCAGGCTGAGCAGGCAGACAAGAAGGGAAAATCAAAAGCAGCGGCAGAACGGATGATACTCGAGGAATTTGGACGATGTTTGATGAGCGTCATCAATTCTGCAGGAAAAGCAAAAAGTGACCCTTGTGCCATGAATTGCTAACTCTTGCACAAAAGACTGACAAATGGAACTGTACAGAAAATTTAAGGTGCAGGGACACTTGATTTTCTGGAAGATAGTTTAACAATTACTGTATTGTTAATTCAGTCCTTGTGAGACCTGAAATTATAATATTGAAAGAGAAGAAATTTTAAATGAGGAAGTTAGTACATTTAAAATCTTAGTTAAATTTGCTCATGCCCCCTTTAAATTGAATTTTACTTTATGTATTATATAGATTTTTAATTTTCTTGGGTTTCTTAAGAATTAGATGTTCTATCCTTCTGATTCTATTGACAGAACATTTATAAACTGCTATAATTTATAATGTATGGTGTTGTATGGCTTTGTTCCAGTAGAAAAACCCAAAGAAGCATTGATATTACCCAATGATCCTTTGGTATTCGATCTATAATATAAGCAGGTAGAAAGTCTACATAAACAAATTCTTATGAAACATATTCAGATGACATTTTGTGTTTAGTAAAGTACTATCTTTTTAAGAAAAAATCAATTTTTAGAGTGATTCTCAAATAATATCTTATTGTCACTTTGGGAATGCAGAAGAGGAAGTATCCATAAGCACACTTTTAAAATAAGTCATTTTGAAATTTTAAAAACAAGAAAATGTTAAAGGACAGAAAATAATTCTCAGTGGGCAATAACTTTCTGTAGTATGTTCTAAGAAATGCTCTGGGATGTTTTTATTTTCTTTCAAGGAGGCGTGGTATTTGAAATAATAAATTGTGAAAGTGATTCACAATGAGAGGTGCATCTGAGTAGAGGTAACATTATATCAGGTATCAAATTTGGCTTGGATGGCGAAATAAAGAATTTTGAAGCTCTAAGAAATGAATTTAGGGGAGAATTTTTCATCATTACAAAATTCTCATCATACACTTTTGAAGCCAGTGTGTAACTCTTGATGTAGTGAAACGGGCCTCCTGACATAGCTTTCAAAATTGTACTGGGAATTTTTTTTATAAGGGAAGTGTAATATGGCATTATTTCTAGCCAGTGATTTGGTAAGTGGAAAGTATGAGTGTTTTCAAATAATTACTAAAACTACAGAAACCATTTTCAGTAATTCAAAATTTAAAGCTTTATGAATTTAAGAGCCTATTATGGACTCTGAATTTTATGACAAGGAAAAAACCATGTTGAAATTCAGGCATTTTGTTAGATACCTAATCCTCAGTAATTACTAGTAGATGATTATTGCATTTCCTACAAGGAATCTATAGTTGTATGTATTACGTGTGTATATATGTTCATATGAACAGCAAGGTATAGGCAATAGAAATTAAGTAATCCAAAAGAGGATTCCGTTATTCATTAAAGTGTATTTTGAAATTTGGATTTATAAAATTCCAGTGCAGTAACTTTAAATGTAGATAGTGCAAACATTCTTAGCACCTCACTCTAGTATGTTTAAAATTAAAGTTTGTATAAATGTAAATTAGTGTAAGAGGATAAAATAATATCTAATCAAGTTATTTTTTAAAAGATTACAATACCTTTTTGGTCTAAACCTAAACTTTGTTCATTTTGTACATATTCTGTGTTTAATTCTAATTGCACCTTTGTGATGTGTATTTATATATACAGTGTGCAGAAAATGTTTGTGAATTTGGATTACACTTGTAGATTATGTATGATGACATTGCTTGAGAATGTTTTGCTTGTAAAAATTTGAAGGTGCAATCAAATGCTACTAGTTTTTCTGATTATCAAGAAGCTATCTAAAGTATTAAGTGTTTTCCTTCCTGTGTAGTACTAAACAACATTTTGTATTTAGGCATTTGCATCAAATTGCTGAACAAGATTAATATCCACATTAACTCAACAATTTTAAAAGACTATTGGGGGGTTGGGTATATAATTTTTTAGCTCTATTTACATCCCAAAGTAGAAAGATTAAATTTATATTTACTAGAGCTATTCAAAGAATACACTTTTCTATATTGTAAAAACAGGACAGCAAAGTAAATCATACAGAAAATAAACATTTATACTATTCTGTAAAAAAAGTTTTGCATTTTTTCTTTAATACCACCACTTTTAACCATTTAGCATGCAAGAACTCTTTAAAAATAAGTGATTTTAAGTAAATTTGTAATTACCTTTGAAAGCACACAACAGAAATACAAATCTATCATTTTTCCCCATTATGAACATAAATTGCTTTGAAATGAGAATATTTGTCTTCTTTTTTTCCCTACTGTTTCTTTCAAGGGTAGAAAATCAGTCTATTCTTTTAATGTTTGATGTTCTTATGGTGAGCGCCTTTCTTAATTTCCTTTTTTCTCAATAATAACAAAATGCAACCTGTAGGTCTTACCTCTTGTACTAAGTGGGAAACAGAACCTTAATGTTATAGGTAGTAAAACTATAAGGGCAGTGACTTTGGGAAGGGACAACTGCTTTATTGTCTCCATTCTTTGATATGGACAACTGATATTTTTTGGTCTTACATAAAATATAAAAAAAAAAACCTTTAGAAAAAATTTTCTATTTTTATTGCTCTGTAACACAGATAGGTAAGAAAATGTATACTATGTAAATGAAGCTTCAGAACAGGACTTCCAGCCCTCCCTGTGATCATATTGCATCCCTTAAACATTTTATTAATATATAGGCATTTTGGAGCAGCAATCCGAAGGAAAGGGAAGCCAATCAACTAGAGAACTTTACTATTGGATTATTTTCTATTCTGTAAATTACTAATTAGAGCTTTTTGTTAGGTTCCCTATAATGCACATTTTATCATTTTTTTAAAAAGATTTATTTATTATTACAAGAACTGGGGTACAGGCCAGAGGTGCGAGAGGTGAGTGGATTCACCAGAGACAGAGTGGGGAACAGAACAGGCAGACAGACCAAAGTACACTGCTGAGGGGAGCAGCAGGAGAGTCTGGAGAGGTCTGCTGCACCGCGTGGGTAGTTCCATGGCTAGGGATCGAACTGGCAAGGCAGAGGCTGTGGACAGCTTCGCAGCGCTGTGCTCAACCCCCTGCGCCACCAGGGAGGACTGCACATTTTATCATTATAGACCAAATGTGAGCTTCATATGATCCAAGTGATTTTATTAGATGAGAGTAATAAAGGCTTTTTTTAAGATTAAAAATTTCCTTTTAAATACCAAGTTTAATGAAAGCATTTAAGTCAGTTTTAGTTTCCATTGAAAAGCAGTAAAGTATATTTCAGGGTAATGTTTATTGTAAGGTCACAGACTTTAATGCTGTAATTTATTGTACTAGAAGATGAAACCTAGCAATATATTAAAAATACATCGTTACCAAGTTGGACTTAAACCAGGAATAAAAGGTTAAGCTAACTTTTTTTTAAGTCTGTTTCACTGTATCAACATACAAAAGAAGAAAAGCTATATATGATCATCTCAAAAATTACAGAAAAATGACCTTTTGGATATACAAAATCTACTGAATTGTCTGCTCAAGGGAATGAGTATTATATAAATTAATTTTTAAAAACCTAGAAAAATCATCTGACAAAACTCAGCACTCATGATTAAAATAAAAAGAAAATCGGCAAACTAGGAATGCAAGGGGTCTTCAATCTGATAAAAAGCATTTATCAACACTCTATAGCTGGGCCTCCTTGGTGGCGCAGGGGTTAAAGACAGCGCTATCAAGCTATCACCAGCCATTGCAGCACAAGTTCTATCTCCAGCAGGCCAGGGAGCTGTCCACATGGCGCAGCAGACCTCTCCTGCCTCGCCCGCTGATCCCCTCAGCAGTGTATTTCAGTAGATCTGCCTGTTCTGCTCCCCACTGTCACTTGTGAATCCTCTCATCCCCCACCCCGCACCTCTGGCCTGTACCCCAGTTCTTGTGTATACATAAATATATCTTTAAAAAAAAAAATCTCTATAATAACAGTAGCCCTTCTCCCTCCCCCATTCCCCCTGAGTAAGCCATGGAAATAAGAAGATACCTATTTGTGGTTGATGTGATAGCCTATATGGAAAAGTCAAAGGATCTTTTTTTAAAATCTGCTAGCACTAATAAGTGAAATAAGCATGGTCAATATGCAAAATCAGTACAATGAACATCTGGAAACTGAAATGTTAAAATTAGCATTCATAGTAGCAAAAAAACATGAACAAAATGTACAAGATCTGTGCTAAATGTAAAAAACATTAATTAAAAAAATGAAATGATCTGAAAACATACCCTGTTCATGAATTGGGAGAGTCTACATTTAGATTTCATTTCTCCCTCAATTGATCTAAGGATTCAACATAATTCCAGTCAAAATCCCAGAAGGAATTTTTGTAGAAATTAACTGATTATAAAATTTCCCTGTAAAGGTATGACTAGAATAGCCAAACATTTTTGAAAGAAAGAACAAAGGTGGAACTCCCTCCTTAATTTAAGATTTCTGTGTGGCTAATCAAGATAGACCCTTGGATGAATAGAACAAAATAGAGCCATGAAATAGACCTTATTTTATTATTTTTTTTTTAGACCTCTTATTTTTACAAGAGTTTATAAAAGGTTATCCACTGGAGAAGAACAGCTTTTAAACAAGTGGTGCTGGGTTATCCAAATGTAAAAATTGAACCTCAACTCATACCACACACCAAAATTAACTTGAAAGTAGGTCATAACCTAAATGTAAAATAAAAAACTACAGAATATCTAAAAGAAATCTGTGTAAGGTTAGGCAAAGATTCTAAGAAGTATGACCCCTAAAAGAAAAAAAAACTGACATCAAAATTAATAATGTCTGCTTCTGAAAATACACAAAGGAAAAAAAAAGACATGGAGAAAACATATCTGATAGTGCACTTTTTAGTTCCAGAATATGTAATGCTAAAAAAGAAAGCAACCAGCCTTCCCAAATATGCACAAAAGACTTGAATGGGTATTTCATGTCAGATTATGTCAATGGCAAATAAGCCTGTGAAGAGATTCTCAGCATCATTCGCCATTATGAAAATGGAAATGAAAGTCACAGTGAAATATCACTGCACACCTATTAGAATGGCTAATTCAAAACAAAACATTGCCAATACCTGTACTGGGGGAAAGGATTTTCATACATCCCTGATCAAAGTGCAGAGGGTACAAGTTTTTCCAGTTTGTTACAAAGTTAAACATACACTTACCATATGACCCATTGTGTGGATATAGTGCATTTTTATTCATCAGTTGGACATTTAAACTTTCCCCACTTTTTAGCTTTTATGGTGCTGAAATCTGTGTACAAAGTTTTTGCATGGGCATGTTTTATATTTCTATATACGCCTATCATATTTGTTGAGTCTTCCAGCAATGTTTTACCTTTTGCCAGGCTGCTTTACAAAGTGTCTTGCTATTTTACTTTCCCACAGTGTATTCAGTGTTCTAGTTTCTGTGCATTCTTGTTAATACTTATTATCTATTATCTATTTTACTATAGCCATTCTAATGTGTGTGAAGTGATATCTCATTTTTTTTTCATGGTTTTGATTTGTATTTCCCATACGATGATGTTGAAAATATATTTGTGTGTATAGGCCATTTGTATATATCCTTTGAAGAATGTGCTCGTATTCTTTACCCATTTTTAAAATGGGGTTATTTGTCCTCATTGTTATAGTTCTTTTTTATTCTAATTACAACTCCTTGATCAAATATATGAATTGCAAAACTTTCTGTGAGTTTTCACTTTCTTGGTGGTGTCCTTTCAAGCACAAGTTTTTAATTTTGGTGAAATCCAATTTATTTTTGTTGCTTGCTTGTGCTTTTGGTGTCTTGGCCTACAAAACTATTGCCAAATTCCAGTCTTTACTCTGTTTTCTTCTAAGACTTATAGTTTTACCTCTTTCACTTAAGTCTTTGATCTATCTTGAGTTAATGTTTGCATGTGGATATTGAGTTATTCCAGGAATATTCGGGGATGAGTAGGAGGAATAAATTTCTGAAGAATAGCTTTTTGTTGTGTTTTCTTCAAAGGAAAAGAGTACAAAGGTGCTGAGTAGAAATTCGAAATCACTCTGATCAAATATAAAAAAATATTTCATTTAAAAAAGTTCAATGTAGGGCCTCCCCGGTGGCGCAGCGGTTGAGCACTGGGTTGCGAGGCTGCCCGCAGCCTCTGCGGCGCCGGTTCGATCCCCGGCTGCTCCCCAGCCACCAGAGGAGGGTCCCACATGGCGCGCAGACCTCTCCTGCCGCCCGCTGCTCCCCTCAGCAGTGTACTTTGGTCCTTCTGCCTGCTCTGCTCCCCGCTCTGGCTCTGGTGAATTCTCTCACCCTCCCGCGTTTCTGACTATACCCAGTGCATGTACAAACAAACAAACAAACAAACAAATAAAAATACATGCCTCTTAAAAAAAAAACAAACAAAAAAAAATTCAATGTAAAGCATATCACATCAAGTAAGTCTGCTATCAGACTTGAAACACTTTTACTAGGGCAGGAACTGTAGTGCTAAACACAGTGACGGGAAAGTCTTTAGTGTTTGTCTAGTTTATCCAGCATTTAAAGAAATAATGCAAAACACTACTTTCTTAAAATACAGAATATATTATTAGTACATCAGTCAAATGTAACAGCAAAGAACATTAGACACTACAGATGTAAAACCTGTTTTAAATAAAGGTCAGGTACAAAACTTGGATTTATATAAGCAATAAGTTAAAGGTGATTTACCAATAGGCTTCCTTTAATAAAGATTTATCCTGGTGCATCTCAGCTCATTCTATTGTAAACAAAACTACAACATTCAGATTTCACAGCAATAGCTCTTCTATAAAATGTAGTACAATTCTAGTTACCTTTTAAAATTTAAGTCTCTGAGGTAGAACAAACATCAAAATATACTATTTAACCTCAATAAAATCCAATTTTTACCTAGTCATTAATTAATCTTTTGCAATTTTCAGTTTTCATATTAACTAATTTGTGAACATTCGCTCAATGGCAAAAGAGTAGAGATGTTTTACATAAACGAGTAATGTGCTTGTTTTGTCCATTAAAATACTCCCATTTGTGAAAGTGCACATACATGTTTTCTGTTTATCATTTCAAATATGGGTGTGAAAGAATGAAGAAAACTGTCCTTAGTGTGTCTCTATCTTCAGATTTAAGCTTATAAATTTCTGAAAAATCCCATTGTCTCAATCAACCCCCTTTCCAGTTGATCAAGCACATGCTACAAAATTCTACTATTTAGCAATGAAAATAGGTATCATTTTCATCTCTTTGTAAACATGAATAGACTTCAGAAGGAGTAGCTAGCATCAAAATAAAAGGCTTCTTTCTTTTCTCATTCTCTGATGAATTTTGGGCTCTTCTAATAGGAGTCAAGTCAATATCCACTCCCTTTTCAAAAATAGTTTTCAAAGTCCCTGGACAACAGATTGTGAAAAGTATATTGCCTGTGTTCTTCAGACCACATTCCCCTGCTTGGTTGCAGCACAAGGAACTATTTCATGGCTCACATGTTTACCCTCACCTACTAAAGCATAAACATTTCTTTTTTTTTAAGATTTATTTATTTATGCATTTAAGAACCGGGGTGCAGGCCAGGTGTGCGGGAGGGTGAGAGGATTCACCAGAGACAGAGCGGGGAACCGAACAGGCAGACTGACTGAAATACACTGCTGAGGGGAGCAGCGGGCAAGGCAGGAGAGGTCTGCTGCCCCATGTGGGTAGCTCCGCCGCTGGCCGGGATTGAACCCGCAGTGCAGAGACTGTGGACAGATTCACAGCGCTGAGCTCAACCGGCTGTGCCACCAGGGAGGCCCAACATTTCTATTTTAAGGTACACTGGGAAGGGGATTTTTGTGGCATTTGATATTTTGCTTTAACCTGATTTTCAAATAGCACTTAATTTTCATAAAAATTATATTCAAGATTTATAAGTAATCTGTCAAATACTGAATCAAAACTCTTTTAGGGATGTAGTCTATAAAAGGTGTCAGTATTTTGGTGACTCCAGTTGTCATATTCTGTTGTTTAAAAGTAGACTGAACAAGTTACAAATATGTCCAGTTAAGATTACTCAGCATTATGTTAGTAAATCAAAGACAAAAGCCACTGGTCAGTCTGTTTCTACTACTGACTTATGGCTTCCTACATCTTGGGTGTTTCTGAAATGCTATAAGACATACCAAAGTTTGAGCAGAGTTTTTGATATGCATAATTAGAAATTATAGTAAATCAGAACTGCTAATTTGTCTATTGTGCAGAGTGGTCAATTAATAAAATACGGTAAAAGTTGGATGTTAAATGTTGACCAATTATTTTTAATTAAAAATTAATATATTTAGGTCCCTCATATGAATGGATAGCCATCATTCCTTAGCAGATGTTTGAATTTATTGGTATTAGCAAAACTTGAACATTTGTAATCTTGTAAAGATGACCAGTGTTTCCTTGACAAAGTTTTTATTTCATTTCTTTCTGAGTACTGTCTTAAAGGGTACTGAGATACACCTTTAGCTTTCATCTGTAAGAAACAGATTATAATATCCTTTAGTAACTTTACATAGTGATTGATGGCACATACTTCTCCATCAAAGAGATGCTCATCTAAATCTACAAATAGATACATATGCCCAGAAAGTTCACATAATATTTTCTGTTGAAGATATAATTCTTCCCTTTTAGGAAGTAGTTCAAAATCTGCCATTTTTGAATGGGTTCTCATAACCCGCTCACAAATATTTATTACTTGACATAGACTTTTGGAGGGGAAATGCAAACCATTCTTCTTTTTAACACATATCAATGACCCAATTTTAGAGGCTTTGAGATCTGATGCATACAGTGCACTGATGCAGTCTTCACAGTGTACAAGAGTTGATAGTCTATCTGCAATATAAGCAGCACAACGGGTGAGATTTCGCTTGTGATCTGAGAGGTCTAGTAGTGCCTCACTTAGCAAACCATTAGACCAGTCTAGGCAAATATCCTCTTTGTGAAAAAGAGTCTTTAAAACATTGATGCCATACTGACTCTGAACTGTCCAAAGGGCCAAGTCTGTCCTTCGAGCAATTGAAATGTCAAGGATGCTTACTTCATGCAGAAAAGCTTCATCTTGCAGTCTGTATCTGGTCTCTGAATTATGGTAAGCTTTCTGGAATGCCATGCAAGTAGGGTTAGAACTGGTTACCAATACCATTTTTAGAAATAATTCTAGATGATCTTGACTCAATTTATAAGTCAGAAGATATGGAAAAGGCATGACTTTTGGGAAAACATAATTGTGGTAGAGCCACTTTAAGCTCTCAGCATTAAGCAAAAATCCCAGGAATCCTAGTTTTCGCTTTCCTTTAATTATTTGATTATTGCTAGTGTCAGATAATGTAACAAAAACAGTCTTGGCTTCAATTAGCACATGGTTAATTTTACTATAAGTTTCAGGCAACAGAGGTCCTCTAAGTCCCTTTCCATAACAGTTCCTACTATTAAAAATGTCAAACAGATTGTTAATTAAGCGTAAAAAATGGATGGTACCAATACAGTTTTGAAAAGGAGGGAGGCCTAAGGAGAGCAAACATTCTAATGCACTGGCCACGCTCTCACTGAAGAGTTGGGCAGCACAATTCACTTTCAGTACATGGTTTTTCAAATTTGCAAGTTTCCCTGGGATTTTTTCCATATTTGATAATTCCTGTTCCTCAAGAGCTACTAAGTCCACAAGGTGCTGCCAATGTGCTGTGCCATTAATAAACTGAATGCTTTGAAAATCCTGAAATGCATTTCTTATTAATCTAAGCAAGTGGCAAGAATCAAAGAAATATGCAATCTGCTGACTAGAAGATGAAGGATGCTGAAATGTGTACTTCATGTTGTCTCCATCAATATGTATCCCCAGTGCTTTTGCCATCTGAACACTGTGAGCTGTCGCATCAGATGTAACGGCCAGAACTGTGATCCCTATGTCACTCAGTTTGCCAATGGTCAGACGAAGCAGTTGAGCTTGCAAATATCCAGATTCCCTGTTTACAAAAAAATAACCAAGAGGTGTTCTCCAGTGACCAGAAATACCCACTGCCATTAACAAAATAGTTTCTGAGGCAAGGGGCATTTCATCAGCATCAAGTTTGCCAAGGCCAAAGTCCATAAAGCCTTGCAAATGGTGACTGCTGGGGTCCCACTGAAGTTGTTGCTTGAGAGATACTCCTTTTATTATCAGTGAACAATATTGATATTGCTGGTCTCCATTCTCTACTCTTTGTTGAAGAAAGGAAAAAACGTTGCTATTGAAACCTGGACTGGGTTTGCATTTGGATAACCATCTGGGAAAAAAAAGGAAACTGTAAAACCCAAATGAAGAAATAAAAAAAATGCTTTAAATGGTACTTAAAGAAGCTTAAAATCCCTATAAAAATATAGCCAACTGTAAGTAGCCAAATTCTACATATATTTTCAAGCATATATTCATATTTTTACCATGAAAGAATAATAGTCTTAGAACAGTAGTTTAAGATGCCACATCTTAAACATACCACAGATAGTAGTTTAACATACCACAAGATAAATTTCAGTTTCTCATTTCTCTCTATAAAAAGTATACAAATCAATTACCCAGTTTGTTTTAATTGATGTTTGTAATTTTGATTAATTTAGATAAGGCAGTCTTTCCTGTGAATCCACTGAAAAAGAAAATTGTTAAAGGAGAAGGAAACTAAGAACATGCAGTACATCCAGCTCATTTTATAGATGCAGGAAACTAGATAGTGGGAGAGCTTAGGTCACTTGGCCAAAATTGTGCTGCTAGTTAGGTAAAAATGTGAAACCTTGCATTCCCGATGCCCTTTTATGCTTTTACTCAGTGCTCCTTATAGCCTCAAAATATGCCCTGTAGGGTCACTTAAGGTGTCTGCATCTCTTTGCCACTATAAAATGCTACACCACTTCCTTGGGAGTATTTTTTTTCTTTTCCAGTATTCCTGACCTTCCGAGGCTTCTGATTATTCTCTCCTACTCAGGATTCTCTTCATTTGATTCTAATTCACTTTCTAATTTTTTATGGATCAGAGAAACAACCAAGTGTAATAATTTGTCTAAAATAAGATTAAATGAATTTTGAGGTGGGGAGGTGCA